CAGCTTCTCTGTGGGGGTTAATGAGCTGCCTGCCCCTCCCCCTGGCTGACAATTAACAGGTCAGAATGTGTTTGTGCTCCTGGACCTGAGCTACAACAATGGAGGGTTGGACAGACATTGGCGAAGGGAAATCCAAGTGAGGCACGGTGAAAACGCCGTTCAGTGTACGAACACCAAGCTGACGTCCTCCATTTCCATATAATCCAATGAGTGAATCGAGAGTCTCAGAAATCCAAGGCTGTGATGAATTCTGGAGGGAACTTCAAACGACACACCTGGCAGACCTATTAGACACCATATGCGTGCCGTATGTGCGCCGTATGTGCGTTCAGGCAACACGAGCTCTACCTCAGAAACATGCACGGAGGGCCCAATAAGCGCAGGAACAATGTCACTGGGTCTGGATAAGATTAATCAGCAGCTCACATGATATCTGTAAAAATGCATTAGCCGTTACCTCATTAGCGATCCAAGACCTAAGAAATTCCTTGAAGCTAATTGAACCCAACTGATGTTTTCAAAGACACATGCCGCTTTGTGTGTCTCTGTGTGTGCCTGTATGCCAGCGTGTTTCTTTCCATTACTCCACCATATGTAATAACAAACTGGACCAAGTCAGACACACGGCCATTGTTCGCCGATTCTGACGCCTATGTCATGACGTCATCCAGCACCGTTCTGGTGGTTTCACTGAAACCAGCCAGTAAATCGGATCTCCACCATTATTCACAGTTTATGCCTGTACACACTCAACATAACATAGGGCTTGGTTGAGCTTCAATCTCCTGGTGACCAAACATGTTAAAGCTTTATGACATCATAAATAAGATATTACCTTGTTTGTTCTTGTTTCATTTCTTATAAAACATTTACACCTTTTTCATATTAAAATGCAATTTGACTCCAGTATCACCACCAACTCTATGTACAGCAACATTCTCTCTCGGGTAAGATCAGCCATGTAACTACTGGACACACAAGCTACCATCGAGAAGGAAGACCTGACACCTTCTGAGCCGCTGCCAGCTCAAATCCATAAAAAAGAAATTATCATTTATTCACTGCACTTGCAGTGTTCGTTCCACTGTGAGGTTATGGTCAAACAAATTATAAAAGGTCTCATTCACCAGAACACTACAAGACAGCCTCCTCAATTGTCGTCCGAAGTGTAAAATTAGTTCCAGCGTTCTGTAATCTTTTACAGCTGCTCTAAGATTTCAGTGTGGATGACAGTGTGATTTGCAAGGTGTCTGTCAGCCAGTGCCGGTATCCGAAAGGACGGCACTGAGTGGGGCTGCGGAGCTGTGTCCTGGCACAAACTCACACTGAGCGTCCCAGGGCAGATCTCAGAGAACATTCCAGCATGGGGAAAAGGAGAGACAACGAAGCAAAACCACTTTTTGACACAAAACAAGAAGAGAGGGGAAACAATGTGCTCAAAAAACATGCTACCTTTAACTGGCCGGGGAGAGCAGCACGGTTTATTTTAGCACAGAAATAGTTGCCGCTAAGATAAATTGAACGTTTTCTACAAATTGGCACATAAGATTACTAAACAGGATTTAAATAGGCCAGGCATGTATTTTTATGAGGAGGATAGCGGTAACCTGCGGTTAAATGTGTGAACTGTCCCATAAGGCAGTCAAAGCCCCGTGTCATGGTTATAGCATGTTCCCTGGTCAACTGTTGACCCAAATAGGTGGGAGAAGGAAGTTTCAGATCTAAAAGTAGCAAATCCAACACGGTCTTTAAAGGTAGGAAGTAGGGTCCATTTTCTCAGTACACATCATAGGATCAGGTTAGCACCAAAGTCACCCCTTGGGGAAGACATCAAACGGACAGGTGCTAATTGCTAATGTCAGGCCTGTGATAGTTTTGCCTCTCATTGATTGGTACGTTCCAGGCTCTCTCAGCAGCAGTAGAGCGGCAATCGCATTCTGCAGTTTTTAACATGCCATTGTGCTGCCTTTAGGCTCGAATGGGGCAAGTGGGGCTGTTTGGGGGACGAGAGTATAGGTGATGGGTCAGAGCCTGAGGTGGGGGTCAGACCAGACTGGGGCCAGGCCTTGACACGGACCCTCGGGGGTTAAATGAGAAACTCCAAGGCTCTGATTCATGACCTTCTTCTGCACAAGAGGCTTCGACAAAACATAAAAAAACAACCAGTAAAGTGAGTGTTAAGCACAAGAGTCACCTGCCATGCGACTGAAATCAGCATCTGGCAGTGAGAAGTTCCCCTGACCGGCGCCATCTCGCTAATGCCCGGCCCGGCCCGGCCCAGCTTGCCGTGGATGCCGGCACAGACAGCAGAAGGCGCCCGGTGATGGGCAGAATTGGACGCCTTGAGGAAAAAAAGAAAAAAATGCGTAACGTTCTCCCCTTTCTGCTCGCGACTGGGAAGTTCTCCCCTTTCTGCTCGTGACTGGGACGTTCTCCACTTTCTGCTCGTGACTGGGACGTTCTCCCCTTTCTGCTCGTGACTGGGACCTTCTCCCCTTTCTGCTCGCGACTGGGACGTTCTCCCCTTTCTGCTCGTGACTGGGGCATTCTCCTCTTTTCTGCTCGCGACTGGGACGTTCTCCCCTTTCTGCTCATGACTGGGACGCTCTCCCCTTTCTGCTCGCGACTGGGACGTTCTCCTCTTTTCTGCTCGTGACTGGGACGTTCTCCCCTTTCTGCTTGCGACTGGGACGTTCTCCTCTTTTCTGCTCGTGACTGGGACGTTCTCCCCTTTCTGCTCATGACTGGGACGCTCTCCCCTTTCTGCTTGCGACTGGGACGTTCTCCTCTTTTCTGCTCGCAACTGGGACGTTCTCCTCTTTTCTGCTCACGACTGGGACGTTCTCCTCTTTTCTGCTCGCGACTGGGACGTTCTCCCCTTTCTGCTCATGACTGGGACGTTCTCCCCTTTCTGCTCATGACTGGGACGTTCTCACCTTTCTGCTCATGACTGGGACGTTCTCCTCTTTTCTGCTCGTGACTGGGACGTTCTCCCCTTTCTGCTCGCGACTGGGACGTTCTCCCCTTTCTGCTCGCGACTGGGATGTTCTCCCCTTTCTGCTCGCGACTGGGACGTTCTCCCCTTTCTGCTCGTGACTGGGAAGAGGCCTTTGGCTTCAGCCAGAAACAAACCTGGCCTCTCCTGGCCTCTGACAAGCTGTCCGGCGCGACATGGAGGAGAATACGAAAGTTACTGTGAGTTTAAATTTAGCTGGAGAAAAAAGCTTCTTCTAAAGCTGCTCGTTCTGGGGCATCGGAGGCTGGATGAGACGGGAGTGTTATAAGATTGAATTCATTCGGCAGGGAAGAGGTGAGGCTGGCCTCAGCCGACTGTAATTACCGTGATTTCATAGTGTCACTTATTCTGGATCATATGCCCTCTCTGAATATCACATTTCAGTCCCTCTCTAGTCCAGCTGCTGCTGCTTGAAATAAATAAGTGTAATATAAGTGCGATAAACAATGAAAATAGTGACACCCACCTCTCCTTTGAAGTCAACACGAGATCAGTTTCCTAAAGCTACTGGGCACTCTTTTCAAACGTTTTAAGGACAGTGTTCAGTGCACTGCACACTTCCGGCAAATCACATTAAACTAGCAAACAGCACGGACCTCTTTTACTGAAATCGTTCAGCATGACTGCAGAAAATATGCATTTATTTATATTCCGCAACACTTTCTGTACAGGTTACGATAAATGCTTTTAAAATACAGGTCATTTAATGTGGGCAGGAAAAAAAAAAAGCGGCAGAGTAATATAGCCTCTCCACCACGGAGTTTCACGTTCAAATAAACACATGGGTGTATATAATTATACACATATATGTGAACTCCTTTGGCGGGTGGTTTTAATTTTGTTCAATCGATGCAATTTTGGCTAAAAAACATAAGCGGAAAAACAGCTTCCCTGCAATGGCACTGTCAGGATTACCGACTGTGTTGCCCTAGTGTGTCTTGTAATTGCCATTTATCCTGCCCCTATTGCCCTCATGTGCTGCACCTCTGTTTTACCCTTTATAGGTAATAGCTTAGGCCCCTAGCTGAGGAGTCTTGCATTAGTCGCATGTGTTAGTGGTCAGATGTTGTCTTCCCTGCTCTATGATTGTAGTCAGCCCTGAGTATCAGCCAATGAGCCCCAAGCAGCCCCCATTGCAAATGCACCCTGGTGTCCCAACTCCCGCTCTTGGCCGCAGGGTGACAGGCATGAGCATCCATAACAGTATCATAACAATATCTTTCATTAACAGTTGGGCAGACATTAATTCATGTGACACGGCTGCAATGTTAGCTGCAATCATAACAGACAATAAGAATGGAAATTACCGGAATGAGTAGTTGACATACGGACACCTACATGCTGAATGTTGTGTAAGTATGATATGGGGCAGAATTAATGTATGTGTCTAAATATATGAAGATGTTACATTTTGTACACGGTGTTTATGTTGTGATGTCATGCCTCTGTGACAATGAACCCTTTAATAGTGCTTCGGCAAATCCTGAAAACAAGTACAGCAAAAAAAAAAAAAGGTGCTTCCGTCATCCATCGAGAGACAGCAGCTGCCTTCCTACATCCGTTTCCTTAAAAACAATTAAGAGCGCTGTTAGTAAACAGCCCCCCCCATGCACGGCGGGACAGGCACTCGCGGGCTGCGGATATTCGCCCCCCAGCGGTGACTCCCAACTCCATGAGTTTCCGTTACTCAAGTCATAGTGAAGTTCAGCAGTTGAACTGTGTGAAGGGAACCTAAGATGATAAAGCTAATATATAAGGGCACTTATAAGGGCACTTAACCAATTAAAGTGAACTTTCTTCCCCAGCACCATAAATAATTCTGACTATATGCTGATGCATTTTGTGACCTGAAAGCAAATTCTCCCTTTGAAAGGCAGAGAGGAGGAACACTGCAGGGAGCAAAGACTGCAGCTGCATATTTATAGCACCCGAGCAGCGGCTGAAGTCGCGCCAGCGCAGTGCGACCAGGAGGGGGGGCTCTTACCTGTGGGCTGATGCTGGGCCCAAAGCCCATGGCCGAGACAGGGGGTGCAGGCATGGTATGGTGGCCCATGGGCGAGCTGATGACGGAGAAGGGAGAGCCCAGGCCGTTGATGGGCGATGGCAGCTGGCCTGACGAGCCCATGGAGGATGGGCTGAGGATGGAGGGGTGCAGCGGGTGGGCGCCCATGCCGCGGTGGCCTGTGGGCGAGCCCAGGGGCGAGGAGGACAGCTGGCTGGAGTCTGTGGGGGGGTAATCACATGTCAAAGCGGGCAGGAGTCAGGGCGGGGCATGGCATCACTCTAACCAGACATCCTGTGTGTCTCTCGGCACCAGGATGCCACCGGGGAGCTGGGGTGGGGTGGGGGGCTACAGAGTGACACTCAGGATCAGCTCGGCATGCACAGTGCCGACACTTTCATTCCGTGACATTCAGGGGTGCCACTTACAGATTTTGGGCCCCATGAAAGCATATCATACTGGACCCCCAACCCAAACCAATCCAACTACGGTCCAAATTTTTTCGCGACAGGGGTCCTTGGAATTATGCTAACTTCCCCCTTTGGTGGCTCCCCTGCTGGTACCAGGCACTGACATTACCCCACCTGCCAGCTCACTGCCAGCTCACTGCCAGCTCACTGCCATGGAGATCAGGCTTATAAATCATTCACAAAGTTGATTATTACGTTTAACAGAGAATAAGAGACCCGCAGGCAGTGTGTGTTTGTGTGTGTATATATACACACACATACATGTACGGTTTACAGTGTGGATCTAGGAGCAGGAGCATTTTGCATTGCGTTACTGGTGTGAGAGGAGCCCTGCTAAGAGACAGCTGCAATTACAGGCCTATGTTTGGCCGCATCGCACAGCGTATCTAATGACACCGGCAGCACTCCTTTGTAATTCTTCTCGTCCACCAGATGAAATAAAAATGATTTATATCGTAGCTCCATGCCAGCTGAGAATAACAATGGCTCCTATCTGCAGAGCTTCCAGAAACACTTGAGTGCGAGTTCCACATGGTAATCTGATGCAGCCAAGTCCTCCCGGCTGAGGACCCGGGGCGGGGGGGGGTTCTTACCGCTCCTCTGTCACATGGAGCTCAATGTGAGGCAGCGGAAGAGCAAGTGGAAGACCTCTGCCCTGCTCCGCCCTGGAACGGGCACTATGCAATCTGGTACGTGGCCAATCCTCAGGGACCCAAAAGAAAACAAAACGTGGACTGACTGTGGGTCCCAGAGAACTGGATTGGAAAACACCGCCTAAGGCTATTAAAACTGATTCAGATGCCAGCAGACATGGATGACTTCACCTGCCAAGATTCAGAAGCAGAATGAACACAGCTTCATGCAAACGTTAATCACACAAAACAAGAAATTAAGCTGCCCGTACAGCTCTCCTGCATGCCCTGCTGCTGCACCACTGCTCGTTCCTCCAGAAGCAGCAGCAGCACCTGCCTGCCCCCGGCTCTGAGACTCAAATGTTAAAACTTGGACGCTGTGAATTGGGACTTCGCCATCTTGCTCATTTGATTTCCTCTGCCAGCTCCTGGAGGGTGGGCTCCCCCTGTCAGTCTGGTTCCTCCCAAGGTTTCTTCCTTCTAGGGAGTTCTTCCTCGCCACTGTCGCCTCTGGCGTGTTCAATCGGGGCTTTGGACTGGGATAATGTAAAGCGCTTTGAGACAATGAAAATGCAATAAAATTGGATCGAACTGAATCGAATCTTATGGCGATCGAGGTCAAAAAACACTTTATATTGGGGCAAATGAATTCCCTCAAGGACAGCCTTGCGCTCCCTGCTACCCATGCAGGTCCTCCAGAGCACCAATGCCAGATATAACCGGCAGCTATGCTGAGAGGACATGCAAAAGTGAATCTTTACATACAAGGTGCACAGGGAAGACACAGGCGTTTGTGGCAAGGGTGCAGTGCTGAAATGCTCAGTTCAATGATCATTTTCAGTTTGTCCCTTTAGGATAGATGATATTTGTAAGAGAATGACAGCTTTGACTGGGGCTCTCAAATGAGTGACAGCAATCCACACCATATTTATTTGTCTGTCACCAAAGTGGACGAGCGTGTTGTACTGAGGAAGAGCACCCAGCATGGTGACAAGTGGCTGACTGCTGCCCCACCCCCCCCCCCCCCAGGGAAATTCAAAGCCTGTGCGGACCGAGAGCCAGAGCGTGTCTGCAAGCAGGAAGGACTGACTCACGTTGATCTAATGAAAAGCAGCAGCACAGTGATAGCTGCCCTCAGTGGCCATCACTGCGGTGGGGACGGGACACCTCTCACAGTGCAGGACGCTGAATACCGCCATGACACAGCAGGGGACATGCCGGTGACCTGCACAGCTCCAACGGGAAGGAGCGGGCGGCCTTCTGGAACCAAAATTCATCTGCTCACCCTTTCCGGGGCAGCACAGCTAACCAACTGAGAGCGAAAAGGGATTCGGCCTGCGAGTCACCATCAAGAGAAAACTGAGCTAACTGCAATCCATGTAACAATCTATGTGAGGCCGACTGAAAGATCACGTCCACGTATCTGATGCAGTTCATCTCGTTGAAGGTTCACATAAGATATGAACTGATCTGAGGTCAAAGAGGCGAGATTCAAAGCAGTCAGAGGTTTATCACCGGTACAGTTTTCCTCTTAGGTCCTGGTGTAAAACGTCCAACAGAAACTCAAGAGAAACCAACAGAACGCAACAAAACCCAGATACTGGACGACAGTCAGTCATCCCGGAATACGAAGTCTGTGGGAGTTGTACCTAGGAACTAAGTCCTCTCTTGATGGAGAAAGAGAAACGGTCCTTCAGAAAGAGATGAGGATAGTTACTTTTCGCAACTGCGTATTATAATTCACGTGTCGTGAGATTGTGAGTTGGAGCCCCATAGAGATAAAAGACAAATGTGACATCATCGCTTTTAACGAGGGACCTAAGAAGGCCAGATGGTAAATTAAGTACATAAATACGAGCATGAATGATGACCCTCTAAACTGCATGCATTACGCTGTCACTAGCACAGTGCTGTGTCTATTCACCACTTCACCTGGACTCTCTTTACTGCTGTCGGAAACACTGAGTTGACCCCCCTCCCCCCTGAAAAGAAAATGCCAACCGGGGGCTGCATTTCACTCAGAAGCAAAAGTTCTGCTGCTATTGTAAGACGCCTAGTAGCCCCCATACAGATGCTGTCTGTCTGTCTGTCTGTCTGTCTGTCTGTCTGTTTGAGCCGCTGTTTACAGGAAGTGGTCAGGGGGCGGCAGTTTCATAGCGCCATGGTTGCTTCGGCGTCGGTAGGGGAAAAACAAACCTGCACATGGACTGGAAAAGGCTTTATTTTTACCACCGCGGCCAGCGTTACCTATGTTCCTCAGCGACAGAGGAAGAAGGAGCCTTGCATTGCCGCAGATCAGCGGCACCTGTAACTGGAAGTGGCAACCCCCCTCCTTTGAATTCTGCCCCTGAGTGGGTGGGTGTGTACGTACATCTGCATGCTCTGCAGCCTGCGGCCGGACGCCCCCGACTTGCCACTTAATGCAGGCAAACCGCGTCTGGGAGCTAAATATAGCATTGCTGGATTCTCAGTTTCAGACCCAGGTCCGGGTGCAGCTAAGAGATGCAGCCACGCGTCACAGGAAGGAACGTCACAGCTGGGGACCGAATGTTGAGTCCACATTCGTGGCATTTAGGGCCTGAATCCAGGGATGGCTTTTAAATCAACTAGGCTTTGGGTGAGCTCTATGTAGAATGCAGTGTTCAGCCCGTGCTCCAGGGGGCGCCATGGGCAGCCACCACTGCATCTCATCAGAGAGCCTTGAGCCAAGTCAGTCCCAACCTGTGCCACAGAGCCCATTCTGCTAGGTGGGCACTCAGGCCCGCCGGGAGGGGAAACATGCCCATTCCTACGTCCCGCTGAGCAGTCAAGTGGTCCTGAGAAAATCTCCCCCCCCCCCTCCTCTTCGGAAAGCTGGCCCCAGACGAGGCGGCCCTGGGCTGGCGTGAGCGAGCAGAGGTGCCTCCGCCTCGTTAAATGTGTCAGTTCCCTGTTTGTGCGGACACTCCGCCTGACAGCAAAATGGGTCAGAAAAACAGAAGCGCTCCAAATTGAAACTATGTCATCCATTAATGGTGGAGACAGCTTCTGGGTGCGCTGTCTGAGCGTCAGCATCCCGCGCTCCCTGTCTCTCTCACTCTTAATAAAACCTCACAAGCACGGCGGGCCCACAGCCAGACGGGGGGGGGGGGGGGGGGGGGGGGCAGACAGCTGGCCTACCCCCTGCCGACGCCGCTGTCACTGTGCGATCCCTCCAGCTACCCAAAGCCCCGCACACCGTCTTTCTGCTTTCAGTAAAGGAATAAAGCCAGTTTTTCTTTCAAGAGCCACCTCCCTGCAGCCTGTGAGATTCGCCCAGTATGACGCTGTTCCGTAAGAAGCCCGAATGTGTCCCAAGCAGACAGCGGGGGGCGCTCGTGAGCTCCTGGAGTCAGCCCGTCACCCTGCGAGCCCCCTGGTGCCGTCCCAGGTGAAGAGTGAAGGACTGGCCCACGGCACCTGGAATCCGACAGGTGACCACTGCATCAGTCTGGGGCCACACTGGAGGTGATCACACAGCCAAAAATAGGGCATTTACGTTGCACCAGGCTGTGCATCAACAGCCCCGACCCGAGCCGCCGGGGGTGCAGCTTTTACAGGCAGGGGCTCTTGGGGGTGCCGAACCCGGTGGCTGGTGCCAGGTGACTAACGGCTGCTTGGTGCGGCCGGGCTTCACTGCGCTGGCCTACATCAGCCCCGCGCCCGGACAGTCAGCCTCCTGCTTGCAGGCACTGCTGCATTATTGAAGGGACCCTCCCGGAGACCAGCGAACACCAGGATCCGAGCCCATTACTGCCCCGGACTCCATTATTCATCAGCGGAGTCACTGGGGAGGCCCGGGGCCACGGGCAACACAAGCTACTCCAGAATGGTCTCCCCCATGAAGCAGGTCCCTCTACCAGCTACGAACACCCAACCTCAGATACCTAATTACCCACAATTTTATCTAGGGCAATGCAAGAAGTCTGGGCTATGAACAGGGAAATAAAAATATATGCATTGATACGACAGGAAGAAGTAAAAGCAGTCTGAAGGGTAAAAGCAACCCACAATGCATTGCTCTGATCACTCTATCATTCACGGATTCCTGCAGGACAGCGGCCTGTCATTGTTGGATATCTCCTCCATTCTGCTAAGGCG